TACCAGCATAAAGAAAAAGAAACAAATGGATTTAAGTTGTTTTTCTAGAGAAGGCTGTTGGTAAAGTCTACAGAACAGATCAATATCTTTTCAAGTGATAATGTATTAAAACATCTTCTAGTTTTGAAGTTTTTGCAAATTATATTTATCCTCATTAGGGTTGCTGTTTGTCAGTTTACCAACAGTGTCTAACTTTTTTTTTTGTAAGGCAACACACACCTAAAATGTCTAAAGGCCATTCTTAAGAAACTGGGAAAAAAACAATTATTTACCAAAACATTTATCATTTTTAACATATTTTTTATATCAAATTTATAGTAACAGACTGTGTTTAAACAACAAAATGATTTTCATTAAATGTGAAAAACAGGTAAAAAGTACTGAATGTGCTTAGTAAGTAAAAAAAAAAGAGACTGAAATCTTTTCATGTCTGCGAAGAGCTCGTTAAAACCAGCTGCTTTAGTCTTAATGGTTTATTAAAAAAGGTTTCTCTTCACCAAGGTATCACACATGAAGCATTTCATGGTTAAGTATGTATTTGTTTTTAGATTTTTTTTTAAACAAAAATTTTAAATCAATATTTTATTCCACTGAATTCTCATTTAGTAAAAAGATTTCTGTCAACCTGGAGAGACGCACATATAAGACTAAAGCAATTAGAGATATATATTGATGAATTAGGAGTTCTTCGGCACTCAGACGCCGGCAGAAGATAATGGAAGCTGCAAATGGCAAAAGGGGCTTGGATAACCATAGCAGATTAAGGATTAGAAATATCTTGCCACAGGATATTGAAATTTACTTAATCTAATTTAATCTTCCAGATTCTCCTTGGAAGTCCATTAAGTGAGCAAATACATTCAATTCTTCATATATTGTATAAGCATGCACATTTACAGGTGCAAACACACATCCTCATTCATACAGTTATTACCCATTGCCCACATGACTACAACCATTGCAAATTATGCATACACCTAGGTCTACTACCATTGTTTAACATTATTGATGCGTTAAATGAATACAACATAGTTTTACGATTAACCAGCCACAGCCAGGGGCTTCTAGCAACATCAGAAGTTGTTTCAAGATACAAAGACAACTGTCAGAGAGCTTCTGAAAAGCCTTAAATCAATGAGTAAAGTGGGTTTGTTTTTTAATGGCACTAGTGGCTTGTTTTTTTCTGACAGGAAAGGGGGTATGAGAGAAGAGGAGAGACATGCAGCAAAGGACCACAGGTAAGATTCGAACCCGGATCGGCCGCATCGAGGACTAAGGCCTCTGTACATGGGTTGTGTGCACTAACCACTGTGTCACTTGCATAGCATCAATGAGTAAAGTTGTTTTTTATGAATGCAGTAATGGGCTTATGTGCAATGGTGTCTGTGAGTGGTCACTGTGCAAGTCACCAACACTTGAATTATGCTGTATTGTTCACCCCAATCTTGCAGAGGAAAAGCAAAAGGTTAATTGAGGCTGACTAACTCTTAATTAGTAATAAAGATGTTAAGATGTTTTAAGTCATCACTAAAACCTAATCAAATAAAATGGATAAAAAAGACAAACATCAGAGTGCTGCGGTAGAGCTCACAGGACCCTCAAAGATCTGAAAACAGTTAGAAATGCAAATTCCCAACAGAAGCTTTCTAATTGCTGGATGAAGTCCAGTTGGCGCATTTAGTAGTCTGCTGTGCTAATCCAACTTAACACGCTTACCATGTGGGATAAAATATTTTAATTTCTTTGTAAATTTAGTTTGCTTTGGTTTTTACCGTACCTAAAACGGCTTTTGAAACATAAAAATGTCCTTTTATATATTTTCTGTAAAAATATTGCGTTTGGTTTCCCTTTAAATCTAATGTTTCACATTATTGATGAACATCACCGTTTACATATCACAGTTGGATGTTGACTGTCAAAATATCAGGACTTTAAATGCTTCCAAATGTTTTTTTTAAGACTGAGCGAAGATGGATCATAGCAATCCTTTCATCAGAGGCCAAACTACTTCAGTAATCCTCTAATTGTGCTGTCATGAAATTTATCATTGAACATGCAAACTACATTCTGTACCGACTGGAATGTAACTCTTGGGAGTTTCTTTGAGCATGGCATGATCTGACCTGCCAGTGAACTTTCTGGAATCTTCCAATGGGAAAACTGGTGATGTTTGCTGGATGTTTCCCAATTGTGAAAAACTGGGACTCCAAATAATTGGAAAAAGACCTTATAAACTTTCCCAGATTTATGAATATCAAATGTTCCCCCTCCAATTATATGGTTTCCTTTTCATGTCAGTAATGTGCAATTGCAAATATACAAATGAGTACCAAATGTGGGGAGCAGTAGAGCTTGGATGGTTGCCAAATAATTAAATTCTGAGTTTTGGTAAAAAAGTTTCTATTCATTTTCTGTTCATTTTGGTTTTTCCAGTCCAGCAACACCTTACAGCAAGAACAGACCTATGTTGGTTTTGTGATTTTATAATTTTGAAAACATCATTTATTCTAAAGGTTCCATGTGTGATGAAGTTATATAGAACCAAAAAGGTCCCACTGGAACAGTCTAAGGTTAAACTTGGCTCTGATATCTGTGTAGTAAATTAAATGACTTTTTTAAACTGAATTAAAAGACTGGGCTTTACTAACGTCATTGTTTATTTATTCTACTGCCATATATAAGACTTTTTTCTTAAATGACTCTGTCTTGCTAATATCATGGTGGCAAAAAAATTATATATTGTTTTTTGGTTACTGCAATCATTTTTTCAAATCCTAAACCCCATAAACACATCAAGCTGCTAAAAGCTAAATATACCCTTTTTTATGTCAATAATTTCAGTGAGAGGCAGAAACATTCAATAAAAAGGCTTCCTTTACATGGATAGAAGTTGTTTGTTTTTGTCTTTCTTTGAGCTTGCACTTAGACTGTCTCCTTATATCTCTTCAAATGAGGTTAGGGAAGACCAAAGGTCCCTAAATCATGGGACTGGACCACTGAGGCTTTTCTGTATTGCTTAATAACTTACTGACCGCATGTTGTTTGCTTTACGTAAACATGCTCCAACTTAGATTACTGTAAACAATTGCTTGTTTGTGATGTGAAATAATTACAAGTATTTGACAAAGCTGAGGTTTGTTTTTTCACTTCAGCATTCTGCAGAGTATATTGCAGAAATAAAATCCTGTACAGGTTGAGCAGTAGGTCACCAAGGCAACTGACTACTTGCAGGGGGTAATGTTGCCCCAGTGGCACAAGAAAGGGGTCATTTGCTTAAATGGTCTACAGACACCCAACAGTTCCTCACCAAAACAATGCAGCTGCTGATGTATCATGTTACTCAGCGACTGACCGCTGCTCTTTGACACTTGTTTGAATTACAGGTGCAAAGCTTCAGCTGAGAAACATAAACATGTCTGAAACTGAGAGAGCAATATCATATTACCCATTAACAAAGGATCCTATAACCGATAGTTACTTAATAGTCAAAGGGATCAGTCCCACCTTGGGTATGATTTTAATTTATATATTTTATAGGAGCAGCTTTTTTTTCTCATACTTTTTTGTTTTGTTCAACATTAAGTTGTTTTCTTTGATTTTAGGACCTATTAAAGACTAAATGGACAGGACAGAACTGGACAGGACAGGATAGGATAGGATAGGATAGGATAGGATAGGATAGGATAGGATAGGAGAGAACTGAACATGACAGGACAGGACATGACAGCATAGGACAGGAAAGCACAAAATAAGACAGGACAGGAGATGATAGGACAGAACAGCATATGGCAGGACAGGATAGGACAGGATAAGACAAGACAGGACATTGCAGGACAGGACAGGACAAGACATGAAAGGACAGGATTGGATAGGATAGGATAGGATAGGATAGGATAGGATAGGATAGGATAGGATAGGATAGGATAGGATAGGATAGGATAGGATAGGATAGGATAGGATAGGATAGGATAGGACAGGATAGGAGAGAACTGAACATGACAGGACATTGCAGGACAGGACAGGACAAGACATGAAAGGACAGGATAGGATAGGATAGGATAGGATAGGATAGGATAGGATAGGATAGGATAGGATAGGATAGGATAGGATAGGATAGGATAGGATAGGATAGGATAGGATAGGATAGGATAGGATAGGATAGGATAGGATAGGATAGGATAGGATAGGATAGGATAGGATAGGATAGGATAGGATAGGATAGGATAGGACAGGACAGGACAGGATAGGAGAGAACTGAACATGACAGGACAGGACATGACAGCATAGGACAGGAAAGCACAAAATAAGACAGGACAGGAGATGATAGGACAGAACAGCATATGGCAGGACAGGATAGGACAGGATAAGACAAGACAGGACATTGCAGGACAGGACAGGACAAGACATGAAAGGACAGGATTGGATAGGATAGGGCAGGGCAGGGCAGGGCAGTTTTGTTTTAAAAAAAAAAAATTCTTAATTTATTTGATCTTTAACTTGTTGCCCTCAGTCAGTTTATGGAAGACAAGGGTCACATAAACTGGCTTATGTAAACACTATCAACATAGTCTTTAACTCAATGATTAATTTTAATTTCAAAGTGAATTGGCCTTAAAAAACTGGCAGATAATATTTTTTATTCCATAAAGTAAATGTGTTTTCAGACGGAATCTAGCTGCTGCTGATTTTAAACACAGCTACTCTCTTTTTATAAATAGTTTATAGACGGATCCATACAACTGCACTGAAGTGAGATTCAATATCATGATATGGAAAGTAAACTGCAAGAGAAAAACTATTCAGTACTCTCCTAAAGCAACAACTTTGAAATTTAACATGCATCAAAAAACAGCTATGATTATACACTTATAATTGCCCCTTACTGATTTCAGCACAGCGATACCGTAATTGGATAAGCACAGAGCCTGACAACCTGACTCACTGGTCATTTATAGCATTTAAACCCTGAAGAACACTCCCATTCCTCACCATAGCAGACAGTTTGGTCATCAACTTCTGTGATCTGCCTTAACAGCTGACTATCTGAACTTGCAGCCCGTCAGTAGAGCGGCTGCTCATAGTGTGTGGGGAAAGAGGGGCATGAAAGTAGGACAGAGTAGTCTGGCCCCTTCCTTTCGGACCAGAAGCAAAGATTCGTTGCAGTGGGAGAGGAGACATTAGTCCTGTGTAGAAAGGAAACAGACAGGGTGTGCCGTGAGGAGAAGCCTCTGGGTTTCAGATCAGTCAGTCCACTTTTGATTTTTACAGATATTTTAATTCGACAGAAATTGGAAACATGCACAAGCGTACCAAGATAAAGATCGCCATCTTCGTGCTGCTGGTGGGCATGGCTTGCATGTTCACAGCAGTGGTAACGGACTACTGGGCAGTGCTCAGCCCACCAGTGGAGAGGTTCAATGAAACCTGTGAGGCGGCCCACTTTGGCCTGTGGAGATTGTGTAAGAAGCACATCTACATCACCCAGGCAAACTACGAGGAGGGTCATGGCTGTGGACCAATCAGCCTTCCTGGAGGTAAGAAAAAACCCTGGCAAAACATTCTTTAACTTTTGATGTTTGCAAGTGATAAAAGCAACAGCTTTCCCCTATGAAGGTAAATTATAGCTTATTGCAGCTCTGCAATGACGCATGAAGCTGCTGAGAATAGAGGTCCTAACAGAGGAAGTCACGTGACTGTCTAAAATTAATGGTGAAGGATTCTGTAGCAGTTCATCTGCTCAACTTGCATAATGTTCAAACTGTTTTTAGGAGTGTGGAAATGCAAGCAAGTGTCCACTGTCACTGCGTGCTCATCCAGGAGAAGTGAATTCTGCACAGATAATAACACCTGCAGTCAGCCAGGTTTCCTTAGATCAAAAGCTTTTAACAAATCCGTCTAGGTTATTCGATTGATTTGACTGTGTAAAGTAACTAGTAAAATATCCTAAAAGTTGTAAAATATCTAAATAGAGAACCACTGACGATTGAAAATCATTAAAAAATCTCTCTGGTGAGAAGCCCCCCCCACAAAAAATAAAAAAAATCTTAAGATATTAATTGGTCACATCATTAATGTTGCAGGTTAATTAGGCTAAAGGATGAATCAAATGTGGAGCAGCATATGTGAGAAAAAAGTTTGGACAAAACGTCAACAAACTGCAAGAATGGTGGAGGGACATTGTATTTATGAATAAAGGAGAGATATCCACAGCAAACAACATAAAAAAAAAAACAAAAAAAAAAACAAAGCTTAGCAACATCGCAGCTAATTTATGATTTATCAAGATGGGACTAATATGTCCAGGTTGGTTTGGGTTGTAAAATAAAAATTATTGCTTATTGTATTTACTTATGTCAAGGTTTTCTTCTCCCAAGATTTGCTTGTTTGTCAGAAAAATGTTTCAGTGTGAAAAAGAAAATAATCTTCAAGTGGTCAGAAAAACCTGTAGTAATGTGATATTTAGAGATAGCAGCACTAGTTGTTTCAGTTCTACCATCAGCAACAGAATTCTGTTAAACATAGCTTGAGGGTGAGATTGAAACTTATTTTGTTTGAAGACGCTTTGAAAAAATATAGAGGTTTGAAATTTTTGTATAGGTAAATGACACCCCTTTCAGAGACATAGACAGGTATGGGGTATTGCAGGCTAACAAAAGAAGCCAACAACCCCCATTCCAAAGTTGTGGACCCGTTCGTCTGTTTGAATTTGCATCTTTTCTAAACAAAAACAAGGCTTTGTTGAGCTACTGTATAAAGCCTCAAACTCAACGCTATTCCTGACATTTTAAACTGAAGGAGCTTCCTGGATGGGAAGCGAAACGTCTTCAAACTTGGAAGCAAAGTCCAATGGATTTCTTCTTTAACTTATCAGCAGATGTTTTTAAAACAGCTTGTATTCAGCTGTCTGACTGACCATTATATGAACAGCACTCAGACTATAAGTCAAGCAGCTGCTGAGCTTTTGAAGTCAGCCTATCAATTAATAGCTGGACATGCCTTAATCCCGACTACTCACAAAAATAAGCTAATTCTTTGCTGATGGCTGGTGTCTGTTGGGAAGCTTGCCCTGTGTTTGCGCTGCAGGTCTCCTGCAGGAACAGATGAGCTGCCTGAGGCGGGGCTCACTGATGCAGACATGCAGAATTTTCTCAATGACTTGACCCACCCAGACATGCGGTGATCTCTTCAGATTGAAAACATTAATTCAGAAGGAAAACGTGTAAATAAAGTTATTCAGGAAATGTATTTATTTGGAGAACATCTGAGGGAGCAGAGACATATTAATTCATCAAGCATATTTTAAAAAACATATATCTATATCCAAATTAATCTACAGTAATCGTCCCCCCCTCTTGCTATTTACAGTTGCTGCTGTTCACCTCCAGCTGTGCAATCTTTATCTGCACATCCAGCATTGCTGCCACACCTGAATTATTAGAAGTCTCCAGTTTGGGGACAGTTGCAGCTCTTGTTGCAACCGTCTCCAAGTTGGCAATTATGGCACAAGCTCAAATGTGCAAGCCAGACACAAAGACTTTAGCTTATGCTACCCATATAACTTTAAAGTACAGTAAACAATCGAACCAACTGTTCATTCATTTATACAAACGGTAAGGAGAGTGTGATATAAACACACATGGAAAAACGAAAAAAAATGTTTTTTAAATTTAAACCATGTTTAGTACCAATGTCATCAAGACAGCATCTTTAATGATTGGAGAAAAGAGTTTTTACAACTGTCCCAAGTCTCCCTTGTACGAGAAACAGAATAAAAACAATATTAAACGTAGAATTTGGAAATGATACTCCTCTTTACTGCCTTATCAACAGCTATGATTAATCTTTCTAATTCTTTGTTTAGTTTAATATATGTAACCAAAGCAAATGGCTTTCATATGAACGTAACAGAAGAGAGACCAGCTTGTTGTTTCGGGATTGAAACTTTATTAAGGCTAAATTAAATTTCTCTGATACTAAATCCTAAAATCAGGCTGAACAGCAGAAATAATCTGGAGACCTGAAAGTCTTTAGTGGTAGAAATGGAAATCCAAGGGTGGTTTCTAGTAAGACTGGAATATGACATATAGATAAACTCAACATATACATAAAAAAAAAACAGCAATACATAATTTAAAATCACATGAGAATAAAGAAGTTTTTATTTTATTTTCTTAGTGAGAGCATGTGCAAAATGCCATTTTACTTGGTGGATTTGGCTGGCTGTGGTGAGGAGTTTCGCTGTTAATCTTGGACCCATGCCTTTTAGACAGGTGTCAACATCTGATTAAAAACAGGACTCAAACATTTGGCAGGGAGATCCGCAGCAGTGAGTCACAACTGGAAAGTATGGATTGGCTTTGTCAAGGAGAATGCTGACAGAGTACAGATGGTGAGAGGATGGAGGATAAACTTAGAATTATTCCTGCTGTTGCTGGTGCGATTCCTTTATTTAGAGAAATGAAATATCTGTTCTGTTAGGGTCTCTATTTAAAATGATACTGAATCCTGCATGTTAGATATACCTTGTATATACAATATTTTTTTCCCATATCCGAAAACTTTTAAGCCAATACATTTGCACTCTCCATGTGCTGCAAGTATGAAAATAAACAGAAGGTGTGCAATGCATTTTAAATTGCATGCAGCAAGCACTGCTGTTGGTTCAAAAATAAGCTATGTAAATACTCAGCTGTGCTGGGTCAGAGCCCTAGGGGTCAAGTGTTCATGCACACGCCCATCGTTTCTTTGAGGGACAGGGCCTCATGGCGGAGTGTGGCATAACTCTAAGACCTGTGGTTCCACCAAACCCCTCCCTTAAGACCTGCCTGCAGCAGCTTGTCTCCTTGCAGGCCACATGCCAACTCAAACTACATCACACTGTCCTGGGATCGGCAGCATTGTTAAATAAAAAAGTCAGGAGGCCCAATGGTATCTTGGTATCTTAAAAGCACTTAAGTGCACAACCAACCTATAAAATGTGAAGTCAGCATGCTAGCAATGTGTTTTACATATAGACAGACACGCATGGGGTGCTGAGGTGTAAGTAACCACATCCTTCATCTGCCATGACAGACATGAACTGACTGCAATTACTAAAGTTGTAAAACAGTTACAGATCTTAGATGGTTAGACCTAAAACTTTTTTTGACAGAGTTAACTGACAGCACACATGCAAAAAAGAAAGTCTAGAAACATGACAGTGTACCAAGATCTTGTTAAGCTAATGTCCTCACCTGATCCTTGCAGACTTGACAGATTTCCCTATTTAGAACAAGAAATATGCTGCTTAATGTGTCAGGGCAGCAAGCAGGACAACAGCCAATAATAAAAGTGACACAGAGTCAGGATTTTACTGAGGGGCCAACAGATAATCATAGATGGAGTTTCAGGTGGGCCCTATAGGGATTTTTTTAAAGACTGGATATGTACTATGGATCTGTACTACTAAATTTTGGATCATATAGTGTCTTTTGTGTGAGACTCACTTGGGCTTAGAAAATAGAGCTCATATTGGCAAAAGCAGCTGACCGCCTTATTTAGGTCAGAGGTGAGTCTCAGTTGCTATGCTTATTTAGACATAAGGAGTCGCAATAAACAGCTGATCAGATTAAGTATCAGATTAAGTGTCGTGTAAACATGTCAGTCAAAATATCAGAATCAGAAATCAGATTCTGCTGGATCGGAATAAAATTGTAATCTGAGTGAAAGGGGTAGTTTTTGCTAATGCACATTCTGATCGGCATGCATGTAAATGGTTGTCAGGACTGTGTTATTCTAATGAGGCAAACTGACCTGAGTGTATAATTTGAACACTGAGGTATTGATACATATTTCGGCTTTCCGCTGGCTACATTCAATTCAATTTACTTTACTAATATATCGGCAATTCTTACAGTCAGATTGGTTCAAGGTATTTTATCTAATTCTGGGCATACACTGTACGATATTTCCAATCGTTGCATGTAGCTGAAGCTCAAACTGTACCTAGTAACTGCAGGGTTTAAAATTCTCAGCTCACGATGTTTGTTCTTACACTGTACAGCCCGACGCTCTAATGTGATCTACCTGCTCACACTGCACGTCCAAAAACCACACATCGGACTCAGCGCCGAGAATGGTGCTGGTCGGACTCGTCAATCTGGAAGAAGAACTCCCTTGTTTGCACATGCACAGTACTTGAGGCTTTGGTAAATCTGCTTGTAGCTCTGTTTTAACAGCAGGATTTGCCCACAAACCCAACATAAAGGCCAACTGATTTTCAAACATGTGAGATTTTTCCCAACCTTACAATTCCTGATCTGGAGGTGGCTACGAAAGGCTGATCACCCCTCGTTAACTCCTGTGGACTACACGACGCAGGACACAAAATGAAGCTGAAACTTGGCCCCATCCAAAAAATTATCTCACGACTGGAAAATCTTCCCTCAAAGGGCAAAAAATTTAGAAACCCCAGTCAAATAAAAATTTAGCAGAACGGGAGAATAGAGATAAAATGAAGCAGAATAATGAAAAAGGGTCCCTATGTCCTCCAGCAGTCTAAGTCTATAGCAGCATACTGTAACTAAAGAGATAGCTCAGGATAACCTGAGCCACTCTAACTATAAGCTTCATCATGCTATCATTGTAGTTCTGAATGGCATGTTTACACATTTTTAGTCTGATTGGTTATTTTAGTCTTATAATTTATATCTGTATAAAAAGTAAAATCTGATAATTTTTTTCTCTTTTAATCCAAATACATTTCAATATCATCTCGGAATTGTTTGCATGTATGCATATCTAATGCTGCTAAGGAAAACTGTTCCAAATGTGGTTACCCATCTATGACATATATGTGACAGGCTATGGCACAACAAGGAAGTCTACCTGGAACCATTTTGAGTGATTTACAGATCCTGAAAGAGCGTAGTATAAGCTTTCCAGTGATGTCTTACATGTCAAAATTGAACAAGAATAGAAGAAGATACGAACATTTGAATGTTTCTCTGCTAAGATAAAATGGCTCACCAGATTCTTTAATAATTAGCCGTTTATTTAAATTCTTAAGATATTTTTGAACCACACACCAAAATGTAAAGTTGTGTGCAAATTACGGTATTTTAAGGATTATAATTGTCCTACATTAAATCATTACAGTCACCTTACATGCGGCCATCTCATAGTCTGTGGACAATGTCATTTATGGCCTATTATTAGATCTATCTACTCTTGTATGTCCCATATGTAAAAATACTGGGTAATTCTGGCTGCTGTAGGATAGCAGCTTAACTAAATATTAGCAGTAAAAATTGTTTGCGTATTAAGATAATAAAAAGGATTTTACCTGTAAAAATTTGATGAAAGTTGCCAAGGAAAACAGCAAAAACCTCCCCTACACTTGTTCTAAGAATCCACTATGGACAAGGAGAAGGTATCTGACAAGACTAAGGTCTTCATAGATGACTGCATCCTCACCAGGAGGAGGAGGTCTTAGGCTCATCTATGTAGCTAAAATAAAACTGTAAAGAAGAATAACGTGTTTTTTTCCGGCCACAGATAGTAGCTGTGATCTATTTTTTAAGGGTTTAGATGTCGGAATAATCCTTTTGGATTCTAAACCAGGTGACATGCTTAATAGATGGTGCAGAGAGATTATGCAATTGGAAGTAGATTTTGTTTAGCGTTGTAAAATGTTGATAAGGAAAAAGATCACTACCACACTTGCACTTATTTTAGTTAAGCTCTTTGTCACAATATTGCTGGTTTCTATGCAAGCATTAAGGTACACCAACAGTTTTAAAGGTCACTAATTATTCAACATTTTGAGAAATCAGTTAATTATTTTGAGAAGCCACTCCATTGACAACGTAAAGTCTCCATTTTAGCAAAATCATAGAATCTAGATAACCTACTAAAGGTTTTATGTGAGGAAAGACTCTTCTTAAAGAACCTTGATCATATCTGGAGCTGCTGCTCCAAACGATAGAGGGAACACTAAAATAAAACATCCTATATCCCTCTGAATACGTAAATTATTATTGCTGTACATCTTTATTTATCACATTCTGGAATGGGTTGAGAGCAAAAAATAAAAATGAAGTAAATCGTTATTTTTACACAGAGTTTTGGATTTAAAATCAAATTCAAAATAAGAGGCTGGAGTCACATGACAGGTTGATCCAACCTCGGTGGAAACTAGGCTCAGTAGTATGTGTCTGTCTGCCCTCCCTACAACACCTGGGCATTCTCATCAATGAGGCGGGGAATCCTCGACCTGAATATTCACTCCTGTAGAGCAATGAAAAGTGATGCCCCAGGTCTGCTTGATTAGATTCAGTTCATAACAGCAATGCACAAACTGCCGAAACCCTTCAGCTACATAAGGCCTAGCATTGTCATGTATCTGAAGGAACCCTGCATTAGCAGATGGTCTCCCTTTGGGTTTGAGGATATCTGGTACCTGATGACAGTTAAATTATCTCTGGCTAACACCTTGAGTTATGCAAGAAATTCCTCCTCACAACATTACTGACTGACTTCCAATCCGGTCATGCTGGAGAATGTTGAAAGCAGCATTTCACGTCCATCATAGGCTCAGTCTGAACCTTTTCTCATCTGTAAGAAGCACAGAGCACCAACTTTAAATATGCTAAACCCTCTTGCAAAATACTGGCCGTGATCACTGCTGGCTGTAAGCAAAAGCCCCGCTCCTGGAAATCCGGCCCTCACACCACCCTCATGGAGGGTGTCGTTGACAGTTTGAGCAGAAACATACACATTAGTCACCTACCAGAGGTTTATTTTGGAGGCCTCTGGTAGTTATCCTCCTGTTTCTCTTTGCACAAAGCAAGAGGTCCATCCTATTGCTGAGTCGTTTAGTTTCTAGAGTTTGCTTGATGTCTGTAAATGTGCTGACTGGTTTAGAATCTCCTCCATCCTCTGACAGAAATAGCACTCTTTCGTCCTACACCCCGCAGTAATGTGCCATCTTGGATGAGCTGCACTTCCTGAACAACTTCTGAAGATTGTAGACAATGCCTAATGCCATCTCTAAGGGTGAAGGTGCCTACAAAAGTCAGCCACGAGGAAATTGTCTGTGATGACCACCTGGAGATATCTCTTTTATGGGGAGGTCTTCGTAATTGCCTTCACCTGTTGTGTGTTTCTTTCGCAGTAAGCAAGTAAAACTGATTGACAATCAGCAGCGTTTCCAACTGGACAACACGGTTTTACAGAACTTGGAGTTACAGTTTGTGGTTCCAGTGTTCTTTTTATTTTTTCAATCAGGACATTTACCTATTTTAGATCTGTTTTTCTGTTTTGTAAAATGTGGGGGTGAAGAAAATCAATTTAACCAGCAAAGTTTGTCATATTGCTAGCTGGAAAAGAAATCAGAAAGTAAATGTTCTGTTCAACCACCATAAACATAGAAAATGGCAACTTTTGTAACCTTTTTATGACAGAAAAATAATAAAACAAATTTGGAAGCTGTTTCCCTGCCTTTCATTTCTCTGTCAGGTTTGACTCAGAGGTATAACTCATTGACAAGCCTCTATTGCACCTCTTATGTGGCATCAACAGTGAAAACAGTGGGGCTTGTTGCTTAGTAACTACATATCTGTTTTCTCTCTCTTTATGGCCAGTCCCTGTCCTTGTTCATAAAAACATCTTTATTTGTATGCAGACCCACACAGTGTGGTACGTGACACTGAAAGCCCTACGTTTTAAAGGCAGCCTTTAGTAAACATCAAAAAGCTGACTTTTTTCTTTACAAATAAGATTGTTTGGGCCTCTTAGAGTAAACTCTGTTTTTTGCTTCATTTCAGGAACCTGGCACATTTGAGAACATTTTAACAAATGGATCATTTCAAAGCACGGGGAATGAAGAGCTCATTACCTTGTAAAATTAAGACTTGTCTTGCATAATTCCACAAAACAGATTTAACTGCTTAGTGTGAGTTCTGGTTCCTTTTCAACCTTGAGATTAATACTTTCAATGCTGGTAAATATGATATTTAAAGCTAATATTATTTGATTTGAGACATTCTGTATGAAGCCCATATACACAGCATAAGGCTGATAAGTCCCTTATAGCTCTCATTGCCTACTTTTGTGCGATAAATGTAAAATATGTTCAAGTTTTGACATTAATTCCAATCTGTTTTGAAACTGGATTCAATGTTTAATAGTCCTCGTGAAGGAACATTTCCTCCACCCCACAAATCACTGCACAAGCACATAAAGCAAATCTGCTTCATTCAAACAAATCCCAAAGGTCTAACACCTCTTCTGTAAAAAAAAATCTAATAGTGATCTGGGTGGCAAAAGCAGTTACTCTGTGAGTCAAACCGCACAAAGCAGAAAATTCAGAGTGGCAACCAATTTAGTCTTAATACTATCTAGAGGGTGTAGGTTTTAAGATGCTTTTAGAGCATAAATGTGACAGATCAGAGACAGTGTGAAGTGTTCCATTGGAAGCATGGCATTCACAAGGTGTTCAGCAGCAGGAGCTCAGATAATGGCGTGAAAAAGATGGGAGACAAGGCTTAAAAGGTAGAGTGAAAAGGTCCAGTGGAGCGCAAGAGGAGGAAGACATGATTGGGGGGAAATGAAGCTACATGTATCATAAAAAAATGTAAAAACTGGTATTTTCAAAGTAAGAATGATTACTGAGTTTGGATACATTGCTGGGTTAAATTTAAACATACTAGCAGGATGCTAGTATGTTTAAAATTTGTTTTAGTGTTGTTTTGTCAAATATATTAATTTTCAAACTCCTTATTTTGTAGAAATGTTTTATGCCTTCAGTTCTAACTTGTTTTAAACAGGCGGATCTCTTTAAAAAAATTTTATCCAAAAGGCAAAGCAATACATTTTTTTCATCAACTTCTAAATAAACAGCTTCACACTTACGCTTCTTTCTGTGAACGTACCTCAGAGCTATCACATCGTTCAGATATTTGAAATCTGTTTTCTTCTCTTTTCACAGAGGAAAATTGCACTTACTTCAGGCACTTCAATCCAGGACAAGATGCTGAGATATTTGAATACAAAACACAAAAAGGTATGTTGTTCTCTAAGTGATGTGTTTTTGAAGGTTGTTTTCTCTCCATCCTGTCAAAACAGTGAAGAAAGAAAAAATAATTTGTTTTCCTGAATTTGTTGAGTGAATGTTTTCCATTTTGTGAAATTGGAAATCAAAGAGATCCAACCTCCTTATTTGACATTTTGTTCCACATTTCCTCTTTTGAGTGGATCAATGGTCACTATATCCATACCTGCATATTTATCCTTAGTGTGCACACATGAAGGTTTGTATGAATAAAGATGCACTTCAATGTCAATTTAACTTTAAGGCAGTGAAACTTTTTCAGCTGTAGTGTTCTCCAATTTCTCTTTCCCCTTTCAGTTGCTAAAGGATAATTTCATCTTAAAAAATTCATTTAGGATTCTGAAGCAGATAAAGACTGTTCTGAATCTCTCTGATTTCTCCATTTATGCCCCCATCTTTCAGAATGCAGCATTTAAGCCAGGGAATTTGGATGTAGTTTTCAAGCTGGTTAGATAGAGGCATAGCTGTTGTCAAGGATTTATACATCGATAACAGCTTTGCTTCCTTCACGCAACTCCAGTCCAAATTTGGTCTTCCTTCTAGCCACTTTTTCAGGTACCTGCAAGTTCGCAATTTTGTCAGACAAAATTTCCCTCACTTTGAAACCATATCAGTGCAACATAGCTTCTTCGAGCTTATAAAAAAGCCCCCCACTTCTAGAAAGCTAATCTCTCCCTTTGTTCATCTTTTCAGTTCATCTCCTTCTACTAATCATATAAAAGAGGCCTGGGCTTCTGATACACTAGTCGAAATTTCAGATGAGATTTGAAATTTGAGTCTGTCAAGGATCAAAACCTGTTCCATTAACTCCAGATTGCAACTTATTCAATTCAAGGTTATCCATCGTTTGCACTTTTCTAAAACCAAACTTAATAAGCTATTTCCTAATGTCTCTCCTATATGTGACAAATGTAAATCAGACAATGGGACTTTAGGTCATATGTTTTGCTCTTGCCCTACGCTTATGGACTTTTGGTACAGAATATTCAAATTTTATAGTAACCTTATGGCAAAGCTCTATATCCGGAAAAAACATTTGATAATTCTGGGTTGCTCTAAATTCTCTGTTACTCTTCCCATGTCTCTGCAGCAGGCTCTAATGTTTGGTTTGGTGGTTGCAAAACGGGTTATTCTGAGGGAATAGAAATCCTCTACACCTCCATGCTTTAAAAAAATGGCTCAATGATATGTTGTCCTGTATCTATCTCGAAGAAATTCGATACTGTTTGTCAGACAATCATGATAAGTTTCTAGATGTGTGGGGTCCTTTTAATAGACATATTCAAAATAATGGGTTAAATGGACTCTTTTCTGGACCTCTTTTCTTTTTTTAATTCTTTTTTTTATTATTTATTATCTCAATACTGTCATCCTTTATTGTACTCTTTTTATTGATATCCCATGTTTTATGTTGATCCGCTTGATACAATGTCTGCAGAATTATTTGCTGTCCTCTCTGACTCTGCCTCGTGCTTTAATATGCTCTATTAATATAATAATAATATAATTATTCTCTTATCAGTTCTTCAGTTTGCTGACACTGTTTTGTCTTGTTTTTTTTGTTTTTGTTGTACTTGTTTTGCTGTATTTTATTTTATTTTTTCTCTTTTTTGTCTTGTCCGTTTAACTCTGAACATGCATAAATAAAATAATTTAAAAAAATAAAAATAAAAAAAATAAAGTTAAACTTGCATAATATTAAGAGTCATTACAAATCCACTGCTTAAATGCAAACTCATTTTATAAGATTATATTTAATATGGTCCGCAGTTTATATTCTGTTCAGAAGATTATATCAGACCAAGTGGAAGCCAGCTGAATAAATAATAAATCTATGTATTGTACAGCATGGGTCTTCTTTTTATTATGGCATAGAGGTTATCAAGGTGCAGCGATGCTTAGGCATTAAAAGAAGCTCAGTTTACTTAAACAGTAGCATGAAGCTTGTCTACAATGTTGGGTCTGGAAAGTTTTCATTAAATTCTACACTGCCTCTTTATGACCGTGTAGCCAGGGAGAAAGTCCTGAGGGAAAATGGTTTAACCTTTATAAAGAGCTTGTTAGCTGAGGGGTATGTTAGTTCAGAAATGTTCTGAATGCTTCCTGTGTGGATAGTGTCTGGTTAAGGAGGGGTATTAACAGGGACAGAACGGCTGTAGCTCATGTCCTGGACAGGTCCATCAGTGGTGATTCTTTAAACTCTGTCCACACTTTGTGACTTTGCCCTAAATCATGAATTAAATTGCTTATTAATCCTCCTGAGGCAATAGTTATTCCTGATGTTTGCACATCTGTTTATACCACTTTTCCCTTTCGGTTAACTTTCCATGTCCTGGGTTTCAGCACTCACCTTTGAAGCTAACCCTGCTCATTGAGGCTGTCAGTCCCTATGATTGTGAAGAGGCATGATGATTGAACATACTATTTTATGTTAAAGGTGAACAGTATTTATTTTTAACTCATTCTGGTTGAATAAAAATATTATATGAAAGATTACAAAACACCAGCAGATTACTTTCTGCTGGTGTTTTGTTTTGTTTTTGCTCAGTTTGTTAGTAACTAAAGCCCCCTTTATATGTATACAATGAAAATAGAAGTAAGATACTAGATTTGAACAGGATTAGAATACAGTGTGAATGCTTGTGTTCATTGCAGAGGAAACTAAAGCTTCAGAAGTGGCTGCTAAGTTGATGGTTGTTTGAGTAAGCGGCTTACTAACACTGTTAGTAGTGAAAGCAATGCAATACTCAGCATTTCAGTTGGGGGGGGCATCCCCCTTCTTAAAAAAATCTTAAAAAGCATCCCCCTTTGTAAATGACCATCTCCGCATGCCATCCCCTGAAACATTTTATTAATAAATGTGTAAAGTTTTGACTATATATTAACAGTAATGGTAATAATATTGCCCCTTCAACATTTGGCGGGCTGTGGGCTTACGAGTGGCCTGAGCAAAATAAATAAAATCAAAGAAGTGGCCTACCATGACTATGAAGCTGATCCCAGTGGGAAATTAGTCCCTAACTCTGTAGGCGCAGTGATAGCCATGTCAGTCCAGGGACTATCTGGAGTTCTACTGTAAGTTGTCTTGATCAAAGTCAATGACTGGCGTACCTGATGTGTAACAACCATACCCAGGATATTAATTAGGCTATGCATACTTCCAAAACGAGCAGCTGGTAGAACTGTTGCTTTTCATCGAGAAGCTCCCAGCTTGGGTTCTTTTTTTTTTGTTGCTTTTTTTTTTTTTGCTTAAAGCTTGTATGTTATCCACACAGATGCATGCCTTCTTTCCTGTTACTCCAATTTCCTTCCTCAGTCCAAAAACAAGACATTAACCTCTAAACTGCTCCCAGATATGAATGTGTGTGCGCAGAGGTTGTTTTCATCCTTGGTAACCACCACACACATCACACACACCCACACATGCACAAACAGTCATGTTTGTTCTGCTATTTGCAGTAAGGGCCATGTGCTGACTCCCATTGACTTCCATTGATTTTCAGTCATTTTCAAGCCTTTCTATGCCCTAACCCTAAAACTAAACCTAACCATTACCTAAATACGATTACCTCACCTTCACCCTAACCCAATTAACACATTTGTAATGATCTTGGTTCTGTTGTTTTTCTTTAAGTTTTCTGTTTCAAGTTTAGCCAGGTTTTTCATTGTTTTCTAGCTTTTTTGGTGTTTCTGGATTCATTTAAGTTGCTTAGGTTTTTCTGTCTGTCCTCTGCTGCCTCCTTGTGTTCTTTTCCCTTGGCTTCCTCGTCAGCTCTAATCACATCTGTTCCCCATCAGCTGATTAGCTCTACCTTTGTTCAGTCAGCCATAAATACTCTCCCTCTGCAGTCCGTCTTTGCTGGTTCCTCGTCTTACCTTTCCTCACCCTGGCTCCTTGTTGGTTTTTCCCTGATGTCTCCATGGTTCTGGTTAGTGTTTGATTTTTATGTTGGATTTTTGGATTCCTGTTTTTGTTTAACATTTTTTAAGTTGGATTTTTGGATTCCTGTTTTTGTTGCCTGATCTCGCATTAAACCCTCCAAGAACTCACCTCTGCCTCTCAGCTTCTGCTTTTGGGTCCAATTAAGAAACATTAAACCAAATCCTGACAGAAGGAACCAGCCAACAATGGACCCAGCAGAACACGGCCCGGACGCCCACAGGAGAATTTCCATTATTCTCAGGAATGCTCTGGACTCCATAGCCGCTCTCAGTCCGCCTTGGAAGAGGGTGAGTGCGGCTGACCAGTTGAAGCCAGCATTCCTCTCTAACTCCTCACTTCTATCACCCCCAGTTTTATCTGAGCTATTCGAGGAGTTGGAGTGGAACCGCCAAGCCGCCTTCGCCCAACTCTGCAATAGACCTCCACCACCCAAACCATCACTCCATCACCTTCCCACTCTGCTGTCTCTTACCTCCGATCCTGTTCCCCCACCATTACCAGCTGTTGGTCCTCCCCTGCCATCTGCTTCCTCCAGGCGTAAGCAACGCCGCCGGGGGAGGAAGACAACCACCTTTCCGGAGGGTCAGCCTGACTCCTTTTTCAGTCCCTCTCTTAACCTGGTTGGTTTCCCCTATGGCTTTAGTTGTCACCTCCATGACAAACAGCTAGCTTCTCGGGTTGGTAGGTTCAGACCAGCTTCCATAACTACACCCCCCACAGTCAGAGCTCCCCATATATCAGAGTCAGATCTCTGGGGTTTCTTTTATGGGGAGAGGGAAGATCTTTTCCCTTTTCTGCCATCTTCATCAGCTCCTAGCAGTCCAGTTTCCCTAGCTCCAGAACCTGTTAGCGAACAAGTTAGCCCAGCACCTGAGGCCGTTTGCAGGCTAGTTAGCCCAGCACGAGAGGCCGATAGCAGGCTAGTTAGCCCAGCACCAGAGGCCGTTAGCAGGCTAGTTAGCCCAGCACCAGAGGCCGTTAGCAGGCTAGTTAGCCCAGCACCAGAGGC